TAAAATTCTAAAATTAATTAAAAAAAAAATTCATAATTATTTATCAATAATTTTACATTTTCAATTAAAAATATATCAATTAAAATTATTTAAAATTTAATATTTAATTTAAAATTAAATTTAAATTTAATATTTAATATTTATTTAAATAAAATTTATTTTTAAAGCTTTAAATATTTAAAATGAATTTTTTATTTATATTTTTGATATTAAAATTCACTTGTTAAAAATTAATAGTATTTACTAATATTTGAATAATATAATTACTTTAAAATTTTATTAATATTACTTAATAAAAAATACTTCAAAATAACTTATTTAAAATTTTATTAGTCTGAAATGAAATGAAAAATTATATATATTTTAGCTAATTTAATGTTTTAATATTTGTCTGTTCAATATTAAGTCAATACTGATTGGTCTTTACAATTACACAAAAGTTTAAATAAAGGCAAATATCAGTATAAACTTTTTTAATTAAGATTATTTTAGATTTAATAACATTTAATGTTCTTTAGTTTATTTAATTAAATTTTTAGAATTAGGCAACAGTTTTGAAACCATTATTAAGTTTGAAGTATAAGTATAAAAAAAGAAACCAATACATATTGACTCAAATTTTGAGTAGATAGACAAACAGATACTAAACACAGACATATATAGTCCTTTGCTTATGTTCTGAACTAATAAATTCTAATTTATGATAAATAACAAATTTATAATGCTTTATTCTAACTGAATGAATTTATTAATAAGTTATTTAATTTTTAGTTATAAAAATTATATAGTAGATTCAATTTATTATTAAAATTCATTCTATATTATTGGTAAAGTTTTTATTTTAGAGAATTAATATTATTACTTATAATGCTAAACTAAAACTTAATTAAAACTGATTTGAAAGAAATCAAATTATATGGGATCTTTGCATAGAAAAGGGTGAAATAGCCAGAAAAAATCAATTTTACTTTTATATGCCAAAGACGATCAGCTATTGATAAATGATACTATAACTAATTATTGGATTCAAAACTATGAAACCGCTTACTGTAATTTTTTATGAAATTGGTTTAAAAGAAATTAAAGATTAAAAATTTTTATTTTTGTTAAAGAAAGAATAAATTAACGGAACAAGGTAATACGTATTACAAATATATTAGTCTAATGCGTTTAAAAATGTTCTGGAAAATAACATGAGAAATGACATCAGATTAAAGTCGATGAGATAACTGCAAATTTAATTCGAGAGATAAAAACAGGGAGACATTTACCAATAGTTGCAAGATTATGTGGAAGTGGTTCATTTGGAAAATTGGTAAAGGAACCAACAACATTCCAAGATGAATTCTTGTCCAACATTGAGATCTTCTTTCATGGAATTTCAACTTTACAATGATCAACCTCGTTATAGTTAGTAAGAGATTTGTCAAACGAGTTAAGGGGGATAACATCATTTTCAATAAGAATGTTGGTTTGTTCTGGGGGAAAAATAGGCAAAAAAAGGTTAATAAATATTCTAGGTATTTCTAAAATATCACGCTGTTTCATTTCAGTATTAAAATTTGGGAATCTTCATGCGTTTCTAATTAATTTAAGGATCTATGGTAAGGACTTTCCAGTTGAATTAAATAATTAAATAATATTAAGCAAACAGATCAATTCTCATTCAATTCCTTTATCATCTTTCAGGATAAAAAAAGGTGCAAGTCATGAATGGAAACAATTCTAATAACAAATATTTTTAGTTTTTCGAATTACTAAAAATTGAAAATTAAGAAAATCTAAAAAAACTAAAATGCAACCCACTTATTTAGCCTAGAAAAAAATTCTTGTTTACCAAAAATGGGAATAGAGGATCACATTTCCTGGGTAATGGACGTTGTACTACAGAACTAAAAATATATTATTATTATTTCACTTTATCTTTAAATGGATTTTCTACTCTCAAATTAAAATTCAAAACTTGAATTCAATAAGCCTTAATTAAAACTTGAAAAAAAACTTGTCTTTTTTTACTTACCTATACGCCACTTTGTTTTAGTATCGGTCAAAAAGGAAACAACCGTATTCATCTTCTTTGTTCGTTGTGTTATAGGTAATATAGTAGTAATGAGTCATAAATATCCTCCACCTCAACAACCTTATCCACAACAACAACCGTATCCACAACAACAACCGTATCCACAACAACAACCGTATCCACAACAACCGTATCCACAACAGTATCAACAGCAATATTACCCTCCTCCGCCTGCTTCGTCTACATACTCTCCTGTTTATAGTAGTGAATATGGTCCTCCAACCTATGAAAACAATCAAGGTCAAGGTCAAGTACACAGCGAAGTAGGAAAAAACTGGAATAAAAAACCAAGGTTTCAAGGTATGTTATCCAATTTTACACTGGAAATTTGTTTGGATTGCATTTATCACTAAAGTAAATATCTTCATTTATCAGATTTATGGGCGGCCATCTTGTTTCTCATTCAATTTGTTGGGTTTCTTGTATTAAGCTACACTGGAATAAAGACGATTTTAAACAAAAATAAATTGTCAAACCAAAATCCCGCTAATGATAATGATGATATTATTAAGGGTATTAAATTGGATACTAATAGCATAGTATTGCTTGTGGTTGCTGGAATTTTCGGATTTTTCTTAAGTTTACTATACATGTTTTTAATGCAAAAATTTCCAAAACCTCTTATAAAAATCACTTTATATCTCTCAATTGCAACTTATTTTATTGCTGCCGCTATTTATGGTTATGTTGGGCAAATCATATTGGTAAGCAAAATATTTTTAATTTTACATTTTTTTTTTAAGGTTAACCTTTTGTATAAAGAACATTTATTATTATCTAGGCAGTTATGTTTGCACTTTTTGGAGTAATTTATTTGATTTGTGCTTTTACATGGCGAGATAGAATTCCTTTTGCAGCTATTTTGTTAGAAACCATAACTTCGCTCACAAGAAAATATTATGGTACGATAATAATGGGATTTGCAGGTTTAATAATTCAAGTAGGATGGTCGATTTGGTGGGCATTGACTACAATTGGATCGTAAGTTTTTTTTTTTTTAAAAATTATCATTACATTTTAATAGTTTGTTGACATTGTATTTTCTTAGATTCGATAAATTTTACGAATCGAGCGGATGTGAAGAAACAACACCTGACAAAAGAGGAATACGTGGATTTAGTTGTAAAGATCCGTATTTATATATTGTATTGTTATTTTTAGTATTTAATTTCTATTGGACCAGTCAGGTTATAAAAACTGTTGTACATGTTACCGATTCTGGAGTATTTGCAACTTATTATTTCCTCGATGGCACCGATCAAGGTGTAGGCAGCACTCCAACCTTAAGCTCACTCAAACGTGCTTGTACTACTTCATTCGGTAGTATCTGTTTTGGTAGTTTGATTATTGCGATCCTTAATACTATAAAAGCTATCCTTCGCAGCATTGCAAACAGTAATGATGATGCATGTGGATTTGTTGCTGCTTGTTTCGCCTGTTTATTAGCTGGGATTGAAAATCTCGTAGAATATTTCAATCATTATGCTTACGTTGAAGGTAATATACATATATATATATATGTATGATTTTATTTATTTATTTTTTTTTTATTTATTTGCATTTCTTACATTTCTAACGATATGAACGAATTATTAATAACATAGTCGCGATATACGGTAAATCATACTGTCGTGCTGCAAAAGACACTTGGAAATTGATAAAGGATCGTGGTGTTGAAGCCATTATTAATGATAACCTCATTGGAAATGTACTCACAATGGGAGCTATATTTATTGGCGTTCTTTGTGCATTATTTGGTTACGGTTATATTAGTTTATTCCTTAAAGAAATTAAAGATAATGGAACTTTGGTTTTGATACTTGTTATAATTTGCTTTATCCTTGGTTTGATGATGACGGTAAATATTAAATAGCCTTTTAAATTTTTTTTAAAAAAAGATTAATTTTTTAATTTTAGATTATTAACTTGGAATTCTTTAATTTTTACAGATCGTTGTAACTGATGCTATTGATTCTGGTGTTGCAACTACATTTGTTGCTTTGGCTGAAGATCCTGATGCATTAAGACGTACTAAACCACAATTATTTGAGAGAATTCGACGTGAATGGCCCGGGGTGGTTCAAGGAATGTAAAAAATAAGAAAAAAAATTTTATAATGTTATAAATATATAGTTATCATTTGTATTTTTTAATTTATCATCGTCGGAATTGGCTTATAAATTTAAAATTCTCGCAATAGAACTATTTTAAATGAAATCTGTACATTGTTTGTTACATTCCCAATCGCACAAATTGTTATATTATTTTAAAATTTTAAATATAATAAGTACATCACGCAGTAATTGAGTTTCAGTGCATTAAAATATTTGAATTTAAAAAAATACAAACACTGGCTATTTTTTTAGCATTGAAGATTATTCAAAATAACATTTAAAAAGTGATAAAAAGTCAAGTATAATCTTTAAATGAAAAATTTCTTTATATACAGTACAACGTTTTTCGTCTGATAGATATGAGAAAGTACAACATATAGAAGCAGAAATAGTACAATTAGATCTGACATTTAAATTTCATCAGAGTTCTGAAAATATTAGAAATTTAATTAAATTATAATAATAAATTTTATTTGATATACAGAAGGTGATTATAGGTACAGTATTTGAATTGCTTAAAAACTACTGATTCAAATTAAACAATTCAAATTTATCAAATTTAACAACTCTTTCTGCTGATCCTTCTAACCATAATTATGCCAGCTATAAGAGCAAATAAAAACAAACCTAGTACTTATCAAACTAATAATAAAAATAAAAGAAATCAAATAAAAACAATTATTACAATGCAAACAACTTAGTTCTAACAAATAAAATTAAAAAAATTCAAATTACTACTACTCACTCAAAAAAAATAATAAGTATAAAATATAATCATAGAATAATAGAGTAACTCAAGCTTAACAAAACTATGATTTTAGTTTTTTTATAAAATGATTTTTGGTAGAGTATTAGCAATTCAAAGTCAGACCATTTTACTATTAAATCAGATATTTTGGCCGCTCTACACGTGATACACATAATTATAATTCCTATTATTGATTAGCTGATTTACATTTTGTAACACTAGGCTATCTTTAATCGTATTTTGCTGAGAATAAAACAAATTTGTCTTCTATTCTGTTACAATAAAGTGTTCTGTCATAGTAAAGTGTTCTGTTACAATAAAATATTCATTTCAAAATCTAAAAGCATTAATGTTTTAAAAAAAAATAAATTTATTAAGTTTTTTGCATTAATTGTTATTATCAGTATTTGCATAATACTAATTTTTCTCTTTTTTTTTGCCTATAGCCAATGCAAATAAATTTATGTAAATAAAAACTAATTTTCTAAATATCAACTGATTGTAAGACTGAATTAGGAACCCAATGGTGTGAATGATACTTTCTAACTATAAATTCTGCTGCTTTACCTGTTAAACCTTTCTAATATATATCCATGTAATGAAAAGCTTTTCTTGCATACCGGTGGATAGTTGAAAGTGAAACAGAGACGAGGGCTAATGGAACAGTTTCTTGTAATCCTGTTCATGAGTAATTACAATGTAATTGACTAAATTTTTGGCTGCATTTCAGAAGTTTTCAATATAGTTCAGCTTACAATGAAATTTGGAGTAAAATATAACTTGATGTCCAGCTGCAATAATAGCTTCTTCTAGTCGCCTTTTTTGTGCTAAAAAGTCTGGTTGCTCACTCATTAATTTTTGTGTTTCTTCTAATTTTAATCCTTCATTTGGCCACAATCTCCTTTCCATTAAAACTTATTTTAATCCTTTTGGCTGTTTCACATAATTTAGGAATATGATAGTTTAATGAAAAAATTATATCTTGTTGACATAATGTGAAAGTGGGGGTTTGAGAACAGAATGTCTGACCCCCCACTGAAACATAGTGTGTGTGGGCCACAGAACGTTAAAAACAATATCGATTATTTTTATTATATTAGAAAAGCT